ATTGATACTTAGTACAACAATACTATTATTAACAATATTGATAACAACAATAACATTAGCCATAATCCACAATCATAAACTGTATCAAACATTACTAATCCTGGAAAGAAATAGATAACTAATAACCAAACACAAATAACATTCAACAATACGTGTACAACAATTGACAACAATCCAATTGCAACACAATTACTTTATATTTAATCATTGAATCATTGATAACAATAATATTAATAACAATCTTATATTATTGCTATAAACACCAACACTATAAAAAGTGAATGAACAAGACCATCCCTGGAGCAAATCAATACCTCAAACAATCTGATACATCAATCTGTTGTTAAACAAAATAAATAATTAATTAAATAATCTAACTTTATATGTCAAACAATAACTATCAAAGACCACTATTAAGACCGATTGCACTCTTTAACTATCATCAAGGAATACCAAAAGTAATATTACCAAGAGTACCACAAGTATTCAACCAACAACCAGTAATACCATACGTGCAATATCAAAGGCCAACTATACCAAGACCTTTACAACAAATACAATTTGACAACCAACTACAACAACAGCTAAACAACCAATTTGGAATAACACCAAGACCTGTTGTACCATATAACACAGCTCCACCAAGAATACCAAAGAAACCTAAACACCTACAATTTCTCAAAAGAAATAAATGACAAATAGTGACAACAATAATAACACACTCTTAGAAGTATTTGGAGGAATAACTACAATACTAGTAATACTAGGAGCAACAGCATTAATATTTATAATTGCAAAGCTTAAACAGCTTAAGAAAAAAAAACAGCAAACAAGTAACCAAAACTTACCTCAACATACCCAAAAGGAAGCAACACAAAAAATTATACCAAACATATCAAACATTAACCAAACATTTAGAACAAGATACTGATACATGTCAATAATACAAATATCGATCACACTATCAATTGAACTTAGCACAATAATCAGTACCATAACTACAACATTCACACCAACATCAACATCATCTATAATCCAAACACAAGCACCAGGATACCTACAAGATACAAACGTAATTGATACCTTCATAGGAGAAGTAATATTTATAATAGTAGTAGCAATAACCACAGCTATAATTATTTGTAGAAACAAAAGCCAGCAAAACAAACTAAAAGTTCTTAAACAAGATTTTGAAAATCAAAGAATAGTAAATAACGTTCACGCATTACAAGATCAAAGTGGATAATCAACAAGAAAATACCTTAACAATCATAACTAGTGATCATACAGTATCAACATTAAACATATCAATAACTTGGATACACAACATTATTATAGTATTGGCAGCATCAGAAAAACTATTCATATATCTTAACTAAACTATACAACTTACTATAATATCAATAGCAATAGTAACAACCATATCCATAATAGCAAACACTATTATATGAGCAAAAGAAGTAACTGCATTGGTAAATCATCAGAAGAAATTGAATGAATTGCCCAGATAATATCAAAAAACTCAAAAAACTTATAGTAAAAATTACAGAATATAAAGGGATAGTAACCAAAGCACTGGAAGACAAACCACAGATTATTAAAGAAAAAGAAATTCTAAAACAAATTATAATCAAAACAGAAGTATCACCAATACTTAAACAAAGCCTGAATCTAACAGTAAATCAAGCAACAGACCTATATGTATACTTAGAATTCAAAAAGAAATTCAACCAAGGAACCTTACCTATAAATAAGTTACCATATTTAGCAACCAAAGCAAAACAATATAACAAACCGCAGAAGTTCATAGAAAAAATATTAGATAAAGCACCATATTTATCTAAAAAATAATTAATGAGCTATGGAGAAATTGGAAACGAAATATACATAAAAGTCTTCCAAGAATATTTTAACAAATATCCAGACCCACCATCAGACGAACATAAAATAAAACTACAAGAAAAACTTAAAGAATTTGATCAAAAAATCAAAAAATATTTAAACAGAAACTTAATACAAGAAGAACGAGTCTGTAATCATAAGAAAAAAGAGTATAAAAAACAAGTCTTCGATCATATTAAAAAAGAAGAAAACAAAGAAAACTTGACTGATGAAGAAATAACAACATATTTAGTATACTCATTAGTAGTAGCAGATAGACTAAAAGTCAAAACAAGTTTAGAAACTATTTCAAGAAAATCATTCAACGTTAAAAATTAGTTAAAGCATACTCAGTGCACTTACCAAGGACAATTATCAACTATATTACCTAAATAATGGCAACAGAATTTGAACCACCAAAAAACTTAGAAAGGCTAACATCTCTAATATCAGAATATGATGGATCAATTGAAAAATATAGAGACTGGAGAAATCAATTGGAAAATGCGTTCAAAGCATTAAGACTAGGAGACTTAATTATATTTGAAAGATACTCTGGAACACCCAAAAAAAGATATACATTAAGAGAAAGAAACTATGATTCAACAAGAGCAGATGCACACGAATGCAGATGGAGTACAGAAATAATGCAAACAGTATTTGCAATAATTAGAACAAAACTAAGAAAGAATGCATTAGAGGTATTCGATACAGAAATAGCAACTATAAATTGTTACTTTAGATCCAACTTAGACAATGCAAATGATTTAAAAGATGCAGAAAATTATCTGATAAAAGCAATAAATTACTTACAAGCAGCAGGAGCTGGTATGCTTCAGCAACAGCAGAAGAAACAAGGATAAACCCAAATGTTACAGATGCAACGACACAAAAAGGATTCAGAGACGTATTTGACGAAAACTTCACAAGAGACTCAGTACAATCATTAAACCAGAAAGAATTTCTTAAATTTAACTTCTATAAGAATCTAGACTGGAACGAGGACTCAGGATTAAGAAAACAAATTAATTAATATAAAAAACTTAGACAATTATCAAATTGGCAATGGGCTCCAAACTTATTTGGAGGAAACTACATGTATTTAATAGAAAGAATTCCTAAAAACATAGCTCAACAAATTGCATTAACAAATCCAGTACCAAATAATGAAGAAGATTTCTTCAGAAGAGCTGATACTCTATTTAGAGCAACAAGAGTAACAATGGATATAATGGAAAAATCCAAAAGTGAAAAAACAAATCACTATTCCCAAAGAACCCAAAAAATAAATAACGTACAAACAGAACAACCTCAAAAAGGAAAATGCTACTCATGTGGACAAATAGGACACTTTGCAAAAGAATGCCCAAAACAGAAAGGAAAAGAAGCATATAACAGAGTACAATCAACCTACAAAAACTATAACGGAAGACAAAAGAAAACCTTTGTCAAAAAATATTGTTCATACTGCGGAAAAGATAATAGATATTATACCAAAACATGTCCAAATAATAATGCCAATTATTATAAAGGAAAAAGAGCAAAAGGACCGACACCTATAGTTTATAAATATAACAACTTCAAAAACAATAAAGGAAGAGAAAAACCTTGATACAATAGTAATAATAGAAACAATGGTGGAAGAAGACCACAAAACAATACAAAAAAATCTTTCACAAAAAGAAGAGTTAACAACTACAAGGAAGAAAAACAAACAAAAAAAGTATACAACTCTGAAAGAAAAGAAAGAAACTCATACAAAAGAAATGACAAAAGAAGAGTGAACCATTATGAAGAATATGAAGAGTATAACAGTGATGAAGAAACAGTTCATCGTACCAAAGTTAAGGAAAACCTTGACAAAATACGGTATTTCGACTAGGGAACCTGTGTAGTACTCAGGATAAAATCCCAAAGAAAATAGGCCAAAGTAGCAAACTACTTAGTACTAAAGAATATTATAATATTATAACATTTAAAGAAAGTATACACAATATACAATGTATTAATAATGAAATAAATAAAAGATCGCAAAACGATCAATATAACAAATATTCTGCCAAACTATTATCAAGTAAAATGTACCAACAAGCTCAAGAAAACCCAGAATACTCTTATTTATTAAAACAATACCACTTTCCAAAAGAAGCGCATAAAGCTCAAGAATTTTCTAAAGGCAAAAAATCAGATGAATTTATAGCATTAATGAACAACAAATCAATCAAAGTACTTATAGATGAAAGAAGCATAATACTCTATAATGTAGCAAAAGAATGGAACTTATTAGACAAACTTAATAAAGAACAAACTAGAACTGCAAGAGTTCCAGGAGGAATGAATGTAACAAACTATGGCAAAGTAAGAGTTAAACTCCAAATAGAAAACCTAATATTTTATATCAAAGTATCAGTAATAGAAGGAAAACAAGCATATATACTCTTAGCAGAAGTAGATCAAGCACGAATAGGAATAAAAAAAAATAGAGAAACTCAAATCATAACAATCAGAGACATACCGATATCATATTAAGACATAACAACAGACGTGCAAAAAGCGAACCTATCACACCGGTTTTATGACAAAAACCCGGATCGCACCTTGAACCTTACAATAGAAAAGGAGAGATCTTATGGTTAGCACACAAATTCCGATGAAATCACCCAACTTGATATCGCAAATCAGCCAAAAATACATTTAACAAAAAGCAAATCACGTGTAGCTAGTTACCTTGCTTGAAAAACTAGTGACCCAGGCAAAAGCGAAAAAAACCTGCCGTTGGTGCCCAACGTGGATACAAAAAAGTATCTCACAAACAAACCTATCACTAAATTCGAGAAAGAGTTGGCTGCCACTTATAAATTCGTGGCGCCCGACGTGGTAAAAAATAAACTTATCACTTACACCCTAAACAAAACAAGTCGAACCCCTAACAACTAATTATACGTCAAAAACAATATGATATTGGAAAAAGCCGTTAAGCCTAACATAGTAACTAACAATGTTACCCCACAATCTAAAAATGAAACCATTTTAAGTTCTATACAAAAAGGCAATAACAACACTTTAAAGAAGAAGAAAGCAAAACTGCCTTTAGAAAGAAAACCTAAACAAGAGTTTTCAAAAGAAAATATAAAACAAAATAAGCCAACTGAGAAATAGGTAGATAAACAATATAACCCAAGGAAATGTAAAAGATTTATAACACATCTCTTACCAGAGTCATTCCCTAAACAAGTTAAAAAGCTTAGAGAACTTGTTAAAGAAAACGAAAATAGAGTCAAATTAATTGGAGTAACAACCGACACTCATTGGGATGAGATAGTAAAAACTACTATCATAACCCAATCTAACATAGTACAAATATTTGGATTCAGTAAAAGAAGGAACACCTAATGAACAGGAAGATATAAACATAATAGAAGGAAATAAAAACATTAATTTAAAAATGGTTTTATACTACAACATGGGATTATATACAAATGACAAGCTATTCACATATTATAATGGAAATAAACAGGTAAACTAGAAAATAATAAAGATAATTCAAGAATTAAAACGCACTGATAAAATAAATATACGATGGAGTGTACTACATTTAGGAACAAAAACTGATCGTGATCGAGAAGATATAATAGAAAATATCAATTATATATTAAAGAAAATAGTTGAAAACAATCTAAGGATTGGACTATTATTGGAAAATAGCACAAGTACCAAATGCTATGGATCAACAA